GGGAAACCTGCAAGAATTTGCATGTGGTCAAGTCAGTAATAGGACTCAGCTGGCCACAAAGCTGGAATGGTATTGGCCTTGGTTCAAGGAGATATGTGCTTAAATTTAACCAGGGAAAATTTTACTCATACAGTAAAGGTTTGGTTTGGTGTAGATCCATTTGGCTCACTTGCTTATGAAATTACTTTTTTCACATTAAAGTAGTCAGTAGTATATTCTCAATGCCATAAATCACTGGTGTTAGGTATCGCTATACCAGGGCAACTCTGCAGGAACAGTCACCCTTTGCTTTTGGTGGCTTCTGTATTGACCATAACAAGCTCTGCATATGTGGCGAATTTCACCGACTGCTTGCAAGCCTGGCACTGGATTACAAGAGGTAAAATATTAGACTAATACATATCTACAGTTAAGTAAAGTGAACGCTTTGCTAAACAAATGTTAGATCTGGCCATAATGGGCTAGTTTTTATTTATTAGTACTCTCAGCCTAGCAAAAAAGTGTCATGGAAATTTATCAGCCTGGGCAGAAATATCTGCTCACCCACACTTTACCACAATGATTGATGATAATGAAAAAACGAATGATATTTTACTCTCATGTCAAAAAATGAAAAAAGAACCCTCAACTCAAGTGAGTAAAACCTTCCCCGGCTGTTGTGAGACTAAGACCTGCGTGCCTATACCGTTTTAGCAATTACCAAAAACATCCTCTCTCTACAAAAAGTCACTATACACCTTCCTTAGATCTGTTTCAATATTTCTGCATCTATAGCACTATCATTCAAAATGATCAAGTATCTGCATGCTTTTTTTTTTCTCTCTCAAATAGAACTTAATAGTTTGAAGTAAATTGTTTTTCAATTTCTTTGCTCTCATGACATTCAGACTGACCACAGAAAAACACAGCAATAAAAGCAAGCGAGCTCCCCCGAAGGGACGAGCTGCAGCGCAGGTTTCGAGGGGCGCCTGACGCTGCTCTCGAGCCGCTGGCGATCGCCGCGTTGTAGCTGCCTGCTCCTGAGCAAGGGAGCGTAAGCAGGCACGAGCACTCGGCGAGGGCGCAGGACCCTCAGCAGCTCTGCGGAGTCAGCAGCTCTTGCGGAATCAGCAAGAGTCAAATCGAGCTGCTCTGACACAGGGTTTTCCCTGGAGTCCTGACTCGCATTTTATTTTTATGGGAGGCTTTTTCCGAAATTGTGATTTTGGAATCACAATTTGAAGCTTAGATTTTGTAAAATAATTAGAAGATCTACAGTTTCTCTTGCCCTAACAATGTAAACTAGCAGCATATTTTAAGCTATTCAAATGTTCAATTTGAAACAAGCCATGAAATGGACGCTATTTATGCCAGATTACAAACTGAAATCTTGAGAATATCACATTTTAGGGACGAATCTGCACTGATACATATGGTAGGAAGAGAGATGCCTGATATTTTTGGAAGCAAGAAACGAATACTTTCTCTTCCATTCTCTGCACTGATAATACAGCACTAAAAAAGAACATTTCATTTGAATACTGAACAGCTTCCATGCGGTCGAGTTTCCAACTGTTAAAACAATTACACAGACCCTTTTAGTTTCACTGCCCTTTCCAAACACCCACGTTTTTCTTCCTTGAAAAATACCTTAACTTGAGTTACGGGGCTGGTCCCTCTCTTCTCATTCTTCATGCCAGTGGGTGAGAGTGCCCCTGTCGTATTTGGTGGCTGCGGAGTAGACGGCATCTTGGCTCCAGGAGAAACTTGCATGCTAGCCAGCTGAGCTGCGTACAGTTGCTGGAAGACAAGAAGATATACAGTATATTCCTGCAACATTTCTAAAAGAGAAGCAGTAAAAGCACATATTTTTTATGCTCCCTTGTTTCTTCTCTTGAAGAAACTACAGATTTTTCTTTAGTATTTTTTCCCCAGCATTTTCTTCCTTTCCCTTCCTATTATGTGCAAAGAGAACAAAATTAAAAACAAAAAACTAGAAAGTTTCTGGGACCTCGGCACACCAATAACATTTTTTTCTTAAACTGAAAAAGTTCAGAAGGAAATTTTCTTAAATTGAAAGAGAAAAAATAAAGAGTTATCAACACCAGCCAAAATAATGAATGCTTCAGACTTTTGCCTACTTACCTAGAAAGCATTCGTCAACTACAGAACTTCTACTAGGAGCTGCTAGGTGAATCACATTTGCTACTGAAATGCAATACTGCATGTTGTGTAGGTAGCAACGAAAGGTAAAAGAAGCAACAAGGTGTACTTCCTTTTCACTGCACAGAAATTTTTATCTTTAACTTCTGTGAACATTAATAAGAAGGCAGACTTTACAAATTCTTGTAAATAGTGATGAAAATACAAAAGCACCTAGATACATCCAACTTTTCAAAAAGTTTACCTGAAACATTATAAAAGATGTGCATATTAAACCATTGCTACCCATCTAAACTACTTAGTGAAAAAAAATGAAATAGGTTTAATTTCCTTCCAGTGACCAAATGTAAACCCTCACCTTGAATTAGCATCAGCAATAACTGTTCTGTCATAAACAGGGAAGATCTTAATCCCTCTTCTGCACATAAATCTATATAAACTTTGCCTTATTAGTGAGAAAAAAGCCAGGTGGTTTGTATGTAATTTCCAACATTACTATCATTCAGATGGACAAATAAAAAAAATTACAGTAATCAAAAGCAGACCTTTCAGCACATGTAATTAAATGAAAGCTTAATAAAGAATAATTTGCAAGAGCCAGATGTGCTTATGTCATAATTGTTGCTTTCTTTGGAACAATTTTTCTAATATAACAAGCCTCCGCAGAAAGGCAAGTTACACAATACGGGGCGCTTGGTGACTCAGTGGCGAGACCGCCGCGCCGGGCGGGCAGCGGCAGCGCGAGGCGCTTGGCGAAACGGGCGCTCGCTCACTCGCTCGCCACCACCCTCTTGGTGCCGAGCACGGGCAGAGATTTGGAAATTAGCGGTGTTTAAATATTTCAGCTAAGCTGTTACATTTTTTCCTTTGCTAGAAAAGTGATTTCTCAGCTCCGTGTCACATCCTGAAAAATTAAATGAAGCACTGCATACAGTCCTAGGTGGTTTGATCTACTGAACGGATTTTATCAGCTCCCTTTGGCAGCAGCCTATAAACCAATGTCATCTGTGTGGGGCCAGTCTCTATTTGCTCAATAGGATGCACTGCTTACATGATAGTAAAAAGCAAATTTTGCAACGTCCTGAAAGCCTGTGCAGAGTTCTCAGCTCTGAATAAATCAGATACTGTACTACAGAACAGATAACATAAGAAACTGCAATATAGCTTAAAAGACAAGAAAAAGGATTATAATGGCTTTTTCAGGGTTCTCTACTTTGGTTATTAAAATATTTTTCAACTTTTAAAATTAAGAACCTATTTAGCATCTTTATAAACGACTCAGAGGAGATGACTGAGTGAACTCTTGTCAGGTTTGCAGATGATACAAAATTGGGGCAATGGAGCATCAGCTCAGAGCAGGGCTGCCACAGGAACAGATCCCTGAGGAAATATAGAGCCCTGCACCCGGGAAGGAAGAGCCCCCTGCACAGACACAGGCTGGGGCCCCACAGGCTGACAAGGACCAAGGAGCTCACTGGATGGCAGCCTGAAGGAGAGAACTTATTCAGGATGACCTTTTTCACCAAGAGGACAGCAAAGCTGTGGACCAGGCTGCCGGAGAGGCTGTGCTCTCCTGAGCTCCCAGCCAACCTAGATTTTCCTCTGCCCCTCTGACCACCAAGAGCTAGATCTGAAGAGTAAGCCTGCCTCTATTCCCAAAGCCCTCATAGCACTCAACACACAGGCAGTATCGGCCACTTACATAAAAGCCAAGTCTTGCTGGACTGGGATTTTAATGAAAGTAGACTAAGGTGTCACTGCTTTTTTGATTGTCTATTACAGATTCAAGAGCTGGAAAAGAATCATACATAAAAACAAATCCAGGTTTATCAACTGCCATTTGAAAGAATCCCCTTCTTCCTTCTCAAGCAAGTCAATAGGACAGAAAAGATGGAGCTAGGGAGTTAGGAAAAGATGCTAAATAGGGGTGTGTGTGTTTTTTTTTCTATAGCAAAGTAGTGTTTCTTAAAAAGTAAAAGAAAATAAGAAGCCAATGATGGCAAGTCATTGGTCATTTGATGCTTGGATGTCAGTTGGACTGGCAAGGAAAATATTCACAATACTTTAAGTGCCAGAGAAAAGTCACAAGATAGGAGAGCAAGTATAGTGACTATCTGGGTAGTTGTTTTGGTTTGAAAACCCAAAGATTAAAAGCAGAATAAAAATAGAGTTACGTGCCACTCCCCTCCCAATGTGGCGAAGAATTTACTGACTACTTCGCAAGCAGCATGAGGAAATGTTTCTAAATGAAGAGAGAGTGTAAAGGATATTCTGGTCTGAATATATACATATATTTCATTCAACACCAGGTCATATAAAGGTGATAAGAGAGGCTTTAACCTGGCATTTCTACAAATTTGTTTTAAATAATGAAAGCAAATATAAAATTACATATAAATAATTATCTTTCTGGTTTGCTTATTCCTTTAAACAAAGCTGTTTCATAAGTGGGTGCAAAGCTTGCAAAAAATCACACTAGCGCTAGCAAAATTGTCATGTGGACTGGAAGGTTGTATAACTTCATTTAAATATCTGTCTGTATGATGAGTTGGCCAATCTGGAAAAATATGTGCACACCACTGCTGCAAGGGTAAAATAGATATTTTAGCCAATTCTCCTGTAAGGGCTCTAAACTGCAGTCTAGGAGTTCACATTCAGATGGTCAAGTCATGAAGCTGTTATCTGCAAGATTAAAGGGAAAAAACAGGGAAGGAACGCTGACCGTTAGCTGATACTCAAGAGCCAAAGTTTGAATGGAAATTTTCCAACTGAAATTCTAACTCGTCAACTATTGAATAGTGGTTTAAAAAATTAACCTACCTTAAACACTAAAAGACATCTTTTTTTCAACATATCTCTAGCACATAAAGAGCACTACACAAACCTTATGACAACCACTCACTCAGAAAGCTCTTGATTACAAATTGGATATTCAAAACCATCAAACATTCAAGAATGATGTAAAAAGCCTTAAAAATATATGCTTTTTTTTAAAAAAATACCAAGTTTGATTCTTATAATCCAGTCACAGGCTGGATATATAAACGACACTGATCTTCATTTACTGCTGTATAGCTAACAATTTAAAAATCACAGGTCACAAAATACACGAGCAAGGACTTAGTTTAATCATTGTCAACATCAGGTATCTTCTAGTGTCAGTATCGGATGCTGAAGACTGGGATTTTCAAATGCAGCAAGTCTCACTTAAGACGAAGGCAAATGAAGTCTTGAGGAAATTATGGAAGCTGGAGGTCACTAGGGGTCTAAATGCCATTCATCTACGTAAATAAAATATAACACAGATGAGTGGGCAATCACTGTATGCAAGCATTTGTATGGCACAGCAGATGTACTGATTTTTACTTGGAAATGGCAGAATTCATACTAAATGCTTGCTATAGCTTAGAGCTACCATCCAAGAAAAATTGAATAAGTAATAAAAATAATAATTCAGTCAGGGTTATTCCTTGCTTCAGAAATTGCCTATGGCATTTGATGAATTTTTTCCATTTCACTCTTTTGAGAAGTATCATCTACGATCTAAAATTTGTCAAACAAATTCATGAACTAACAACAGCATCCCAATTTATCTGAATGTTAAAACCTACCCTAATGGCATCCAAGTCCCACAACACCTTTGTGAAATACTTTCATGAGACATGAGGATAACAGCATTGGCAGCCAGCGTGCATCCATACCTTGGCAGGAGATGAAGGTCTTGGTCTGTGCACATCCCTCTCTGAGGCTTCAAGAGTTTTTTTCCAATAGGCTTTTCTCAATCATGTTTTTTCAGCTAGTTTTCAATAATCCTAACTCTTTCATTAGCTTAGGTCCCTCTCACATATCACTCCTCCCTGCACTTGAGGCTGTGACATGCCACACGCATGCACTGCCCACTGACACTGAGCAAATGAAGCGAGCCCAGGGCAATGAAGCCCTTTCCACGCACCAGATGTTTCCATTTTTGCAGCGGGAATACTGACACCTCCCAGGCCACAACATCTGCGTCTCAAGGAATGAATAAAGGTGAAGAACTTCCACAATCAAATGTTACAGAAGTAATACAGGGTGAATAAAATAGAAAAGGTCTTGAACCAACATAGCGAAGGCAGCTCTGTGCTGATTATAATCTGATAGCTTTCTGATAGACAGTTTTACCATCCAGCACAACACGATGATAAACAGAATTGTCTTATCAATGACAGGCTTTATAGAAGAAGTTTGTTCCAACAAGGTATTTTAGCAAGGAGAAAATGATCAAATGCTGCATGAGAGGGAGGCAGTTTCTTTAGCAATATGAGCCTAGGGGGAACACAGAGAGAGCACTTGCATTTGTTCATATGTGACTGGAAAAGCAAGCATCAGACATTTCAATTGACTGCTTTGTGGAGAGAGAATTTGGTCACAGCAGTTGGAGCGCAATTCATGTGTTATCTGCAGGAACATTTTGGGAAATTAAAGTACAGTAATATGAGATATAAGCAAGAAGAGAGAGATGGATTTATTTCTCAGTGAAGAGGATAACCAAAGCACAGGCAATGAGGGCTGACCTAACTGGATAAACCGCAATGGATGCACTTGAAAGATGCCCCAAAGACAAATCCAGTAGAAGGTTGCCTGCTGCAAGAGGAAAG